TCAAAATATACCTAAATTTAAAAAATAGTTCAAACTTGTACTTATATTTTATAGAGCATTTATGCACCCCATACACGATTATTTATTATAGTGTTTAATTAGGATTTTTATATATTAACTGCTTAAATATATTCGTGCAAAATTCTGGAATATTACACAACATCTATGTGTCGAATGTAAATGAACAAAACGAGCTTTAAAAAGTAGATGTAGCCTTCAAGTTACTGCCACGTAATGTGACACTTTTGTTGTAATTTATAAAAATTGACTTGCCTTATCATTGCAAAGATAATAACAAAAACCTTGACGTCATTTTTTTATTTATTTCCTTCTCTGCAAACCTATTTAAAAGAAGTATAAAATAGCAAAAAACAACAAAAAATTCTAAATGATTTTAAATTTGAAATTAATTTTTTAATATTTAATAAATTAGTACATAAATTATTACATAACTAAGACAGATATTAATTCTTTATATGAAACTTAATCCGTACCCACTGGGGTGTATTTTAGTTGAAATAGACAGTAGTACAAATTGATGAAAAGAATTATGTAATTTAAAAATACATTAAAGACTGTTATTTTATTTAAAATATATAGTATATTAAATCCTAATAAAAGTTATTTATAATTAAAATATATAGAGTATTTATAAAGTTAAAAAATACTTTGGAACCATATATAAGGAATAAACTACTTTACTGTTATTTATTAACTATTTTACTGCATTTAATATCACAGGCACACAAAAAAAAGTCAAAACCCAGAGGTCACACCCCCCTATCCCCATGTTTTTGGGGTCGCTGAAACCGAATATGACCATGAAAATTTTCTTTCATCGGCCATTTTCCCGCTACCACCCCCTTACACCTGCTCCCGGGGGTTGGAATTTCAGTTTTAAAAAAAGTGGAGTAGGGTGTCTATTCTTATGTTTTTTGGGTCGCTAAAAACAAAAAAGACTACAAAAAACAAATTCTTCCTTTCCTTAACCCCCTAAAACCCCCTTAATAACCCCAGAGTGAGGAGTCGAAATTCGACTTTTCACGAAAAGTCGATTACGGTGTCTAAACCTACGTTTTTTGGGTCGCTGAAACCAAAAAAGACTACCAAAATCAAATCCTTTCCACCCTCGACCCCCTACAACCCCTGCAATAATTTTTTTCAAATAAAACGAACCGATTTTTGGGAAATTGAAAATTAAATATTAGTTATTAAAAATTATTGCAGGGGGTTGTACGGGGTTGAGGGTGGAAAGGATTTGATTTTGGTAGTCTTTTTTGGTTTCAGCGACCCAAAAAACGTAGGTTTAGACACCGTAATCGACTTTTCGTGAAAAGTCGAATTTCGACTCCTCACTCTGGGGTTATTAAGGGGGTTTTAGGGGGTTAAGGAAAGGAAGAATTTGTTTTTTGTAGTCTTTTTTGTTTTTAGCGACCCAAAAAACATAAGAATAGACACCCTACTCCACTTTTTTTAAACTGAAATTTTAACCCCCGGGAGCAGGTGTAAGGGGGTGGTAGCGGGAAAATGGCCGATGAAAAAAAATTTTCAATGTCATATTCGGTTTCAGCAACCCCAAAAACATGGGGATAGGGGAGTGTGACCTCTGGGATTTGACTTTTTTATTTTTTTGTGTGCCTGTGTATTTAATATAGATATATTTAGGGTCAGATCAGCTCAACTGTGTTAAAAAATTTCATTGATTTTCTAAAATGTTAAAACTTTTATGAAAATCTATAGTTCACAACAAAACAAAAAAAAACTTTTCACCTTATTTTGAAATCAAAAATTTTTGTTATTTTTTTCCATTAACAAACATTACAACATTTAAAAAAAATTAATAACTCAAAAGCCGTTTACAATAAATCAATGAAACTTACACTGTTTACACAAAATTGTTCACTCTTTTCAATTAAAATAATTGCATGATTGTAAATTTAAAAATTCCATATTTTTAATAACAATTTTATAAACAATTTAAATTATTTATGTGTTCTACCCTTCCAATTGCAATGAAACTCATAGTAAGTGTACTCAATAGTCTCTTCTTGAAGCCCCTCAAAAAATTTTGTATTTTCTAGTTGGAATGTACATTACGAATTTTTTATTAAAAACGCGCGCTAACGCCACAGTGGGAAAAAAGTTAGTTTTCGTAGACAAATCAGTCTTAAGGTTACAAATATTACTTGTTTTTAATAATTTTTTTTCCAATGAAAGTTGATAAAATTGCGCACCTATCTGTGGTAGTACTCTCTAAATCTGAATTAGTAGAAAGTTACTAATGAAATGACGAAAAGTCTTCCACCAAATGATTTAGTAATAACTTTACTAACAAATAGTGAAATTTTACTAATTATTAGTAGATTTTACTAATTGCTTAATAGAATTCTACTAACAATTAGTAGAACTGTTTTATTAATAGTCGATAAAACAGTTTCACTAATTCATTTAGTAAAAAAGTGATTTTCAATTAGTGGAATTCTACTAAAACATTAGTAAAATATTACTAAAAATTAGTAATATTCTACTAATTGAAAAGGGGAAAAGTCTTCCATGAAAACTACTAAAAATTAGTAAAATTTTACTATTTCTTAGTAGAATTCTACTAATTCAGATATAGAGAGTAGGATTTTGAAAATTGTTAACAAATTTCTTTTATTTAACTATATATATTAACAAAAGAGAAAAAAAATTTACAAAATATTAGTTTACAAATGCGTAGCATTCATATTTTTTTAAGTCAAGATATCAAATTTGATTCTTTTATAAGGAAACAAATCATAATTTGGTAAGTTACATTTATTGAGTTTTGTTTATTATTCTATAAACGAATAATTAATTAACAATTGTATAAAAATGTCAATTTGAACGATAACGAGTTCGTTATAGTTCATATTATTTACTAATGAACTGAAGTTATTGTAAATACATGTTATGGTCATTTTCTGTAAGATGACATTTTTATTATTTAATAAAATTTATTAACAAATGCGTAAAAATGTCAATTTGAATGCTAAAATGTATTTATAATAACTTTACTCAATTAGTAAATAATATGAACTAAAACGAGCTCTTTATCTTTCAAATTGATATTTTTACACATTTGTTAATTAATTATTGTATATAAAATAATAAACAAAACTGAATATTGGTTATCTGGAACTCTTTTTTCAATTATTGTAGCATGGATTAGTAGAAATGCATTTTAATAAAAATTTCCTTAAATAAATTTTTTTTCTCATTTGATCACATATATATTGTTAAATAAAAAAAATTTGTTAACAACTTTTAAAATTCTACCGCCACAGATAGATGCGGAATTTTATAAACTTTCATTTAAAAAAAAATTTATCAAAAACAAGTAACACTTCCTATACTATGAGTTTCATTGCAGTTGGAGGGGTAGAACACATAAATAATTCAAATATTGTTTATAAAATTGTTATTAAAAATATAGAATTTTTAAATTGACAATCATGCAATTATTTTCATTGAAAAGAGTGAACAATTTTGTGTAAACAGTATAAGTTTCATTAATTTATTGTAAACGGCTTTTGAGTTATTAATCTTTTTTAAATGTTATAATGTTTTGTTAATGCAAAAAATTTTAAATTTCAGAATACGGTGAAAAGTGTTTTTTGTTTTGTGAACTACAGATTTTCATAAAAGTTTTAACATATTTTAGAAAATCAATGAAATTTTTTTAACACAGTTGAGCTACGTCTGACTCTTTAATATTTACTTTTTACATTATTATACATGTAAGCTTACATCGTGGGATCACTGTAAGATTACATGATGAGGTCATGGTAAGCTGACAGAGTAAGGTCACTATAAGCTTGTCATATAAGCTTGCTGTAAACTTATCATGTAAGGTTACAGTAAATTTGCACTAAGCTTACATGGTAAGTTTATATTATTGCTAACATGTAACAAAGTATTAATTTATTATTTTTCAATAAACAATAGACAGTTTTGCACAATTTAATTTTCTTATATTTGATGTTAAAGAATCGGTATGGTTTGTTTAAAAAAATTTATTGCGCATCCTAAAATGACATAGAAGGCTACTGCGCATAAATGTTTATTAAATTTATTTATTAATAACTTTAAAAGTTTATCATATAAGCTTACAGTGACATTACGATGTGAGTATACAGTGACCTTACCATGTAAGTTTACCATGTTCTTACTGTGTAAGCTTACTGTATGGCGGACATTTTAAGTGTACCCTAAGTTTACAGTGTATGTACACTGTAACCTTACAAAGCTAACGAATAAGCCAACAGTATTTTTGCATAAGATATGGTGCTGTGTGGGTTGTTAACTCAATTATTGTCAAACTTATTTACATTGCGAACGCAACCCAATTTCTTTTCACTAAGAACCAGTTTTATTTCAAGTGAGAATCCTTGTAATTTATTATTATATTGTAATTATATTAAAGATAATAAATCTTTGTAAGTTTACGTTATTAGAGTTAAAACTGCACCTATTACTAACTTAACAAAGAATCCATGCCATTTCAACAAAATCGACTTTAACTATAGCTACCTAGTTGTTTTCAGGATATAATTTTTTTCAGTATAATTTGTTAAATTAAAATTTATTGTTTCTTTAGTAAACGACGAATTTCTTGTAAATAATTCGGTATTTTTTCTTTTATACTATTTTGCTTTAACTAAAAATAATATTTTGAACTGGAAAACTGCATTCTTTTATAAACAAGTTTTTATGAGATTATTAAAGATAGCTGTCATGTTAGTAAGTTTTTAAATTTTGAACAGAGAATAATAAAGACAAAATTTTAATATACTTCATAAAGAACATTATTTTAAAGTTTTTCTTGTGAAATAAGCAATAATTTAAACATTAAAAATATATTTAAATCACTAGTAGAAATATTATTATTTAAATTTATTTAAATATTAAATAAACAATATTTCTAACATGTGCAATGACTGTAAAATTTCCTGAAATAAATAATCATACTAATTTACCTTTCTGGTTATTGAACCTTTACTTGCGATTATCAGAGCATTAAGAATTTATTTGAGAATATCCTTGAACTTGACACATAACTTATAAAAATTCAGTTGGACAATTAAATTAATTTTTTCTCATAGTTGCTTGAATATTTTATTTGAAATTACACTTGCTGGTAATCTTCTCTTAAAGGGCGCGCACTCAATTTAAAAGACACTTAATATTATAAAAACACTATTATTTAAAAAAATAAATTAATATCATTGGGTACTATTTTATGAATAACAGTCAAATCACTCTATATGAAACACGTACCTTTTTCAAAGTATGTCGAATGAAATATTTTTTCTGTTTCAGGGAGGAAAAAATGTATAAGAGAAGAAAATGTCTGAATTCTTCTAATTTGTATACCTGACTCGATGAAGGTTCTAGCCTTACTGGCGTTGAATGTACCTGGTGAAACGGTACTTACCTATACCTGAGCAGGTCCGCAGCTCGACTTCAAGTCGGTAACATAAGCATAAAGAGACACGTTCTCATGATTTTCAGTTAAACTTTAAACACATTCCATTTCTGTTGGTCGCATTAAATTTAGAAGGCTTCAATTTCTTCTTCTCTTGCGCACTTTTTATTACAATGACTACTAACTCGAAATATTCAAATTGCAATGAATTGATACCAATAACGTATATAAAATCTTGTTTTTATTCAAATTTTTAATACCTATCAATTTTGTCTTGAGACATAGAATCTCGTCTTGTTTTGAAGTTTCGACATTTTTTTAAATAACAAGATTGCCACTGATCAGGAAATAATAAGTATTAAGTTTCTAGAATTAAGGAAAAAAATTCTGGTTTTTGTGTCCCTAGCAACCTTTAAAAATATTAAAACATTAGTCTTTTTGAATTTTCCATGTCACTTTTCTGAAATTATAGACAGAGTTTTGAGTCAAATTTAAGAGAATTATCATACTGTTTGAAAAACTGCAATTAATGCGGTTATTAATTATTAATTAATAAGAAAAAATAGCTATTGAATAATTAAAGTCGACAAATAAAATCATTTTAAAACGCAGAAACTAAACATAAAATTGTGTAAACAAATTTTAAATTACTTTTTTGAAACAAACACAATTTATTGTTAATTTTATTTTTAATTATTAACTATAATAATCTTCGTATTTGGGCAGTTCCATACGAAAAGCAAATGGTGGATCACAGATTTTTCTTAAAGTTTGTAATTTTGTAGTACTTGGGGTACTAAATAACTGTGCCAAACAGTTTTGCAAAAAAAAATTTTTTTTGTAAGATATATAGATTTGAAAAATCTGAAACTGAAAAAAATGACTTTTTTTGAGAATTTTTATTTCAAAAACTATTGATTCTACGAGAAAAAGACATTCATTCAAAATTGTAGAGAAAATGTCAATTTTTTATAATATTAAAAAAAAGTTAAGAAAAATTAAATTTTCAATAATTTGTTTAAACAATATTTTTTTATTGTTAAAAAAATATTCTAGGGACATCATGGAATATCATAAAAAAATGTTTTTCTTAAAATTTAAACCTTCCTTAATAAGTGGTTAAATTTTTAAAGAAGTGCTTTTTGATGTTTTTGAGAACAAATTTTTCGAGGTTTGCGCTACGAGTTTTTGTGCGTTGCGCTAACTAAGCAGCGCCTATATCAGTGTATTTTAAAAGATGATATGACATATGACCTTTACTGCTCGCCCCTAATACATTTAATAATTATATACGTATATATTATTATTATTATAAACAGTTTAACAATATATTTTTAACTTTTTTATAAACATTATTTTACTTTTTTAACCCATTAATGCCCATATGGGCACAGGAACGCAGATATAAAAAAATAACTATAAATACTTTTAAAGCCATAATATAAAACAATATACTTTAGTAAAAATCCAAACATTCGCCTAGGTGCGAAAAACTGTGCATCGGTTCGAATAATAATTTTTTATATTAAATTTCGATACTGACACAAAAGAACAAAACCATTTCATGAAACTAGGATATCCAACAGTTATTAAGATAAATATTAGAATAACAAAAATATAATATGTGTCGAATAATAAAGTTGTCCCCTACTTCTTCGATTTTGTTGAAACTTCGAAATTTTTAAGTGTAATACATGCCAGTAAAAAACCCTAAATCGATTTCGAAAATTTTTTAAAATTTTGGATTTACGAGGTTTTTAAATTTTTTTTTTAATTTTGAAAATGGTAGGTATATCTTAACCTTCGCGCTACCGGCTGGCCACACGGTGTGACCAAGTATACATAATGTTGTATATCTGCTCGACTTTTGTAATCAATCGAATCGCCATTTTAACTCACTGGACAAAATTTTTCAGTTAATTTGTATTAACACATAACTATATACAAAAGCTTTGATGAATTTTAATTGTTTTGGGAACATAAAAGTAAAATAGCGTTTGGCCACACCGTGTGGCCAGCCGGTAGTCCGCGTATACAAAAATCTTTGGTAGCGCGAAGGTTAAAAGAAAATGAATGAAATTTAAAAAAATTTTCAGGAAATGCATATTATTTACAGACAATTTAAGAAAATATTTTATAAAAAAAATTTTTTTTTTTAAACAAATTATTTAAGGTATTTGTCGCGTAAATTCGTTTTCGACAGAATGTTTTTAAATTTCACATAATTATTCTTTGGATATTTATCTACAAAATAAGGCCTATTAAAATAAAATTGACCGTCTGTAAGTCTCAAAAAATGAAATCAAAGTTTCGATTTTTAACATGTACGGTATAGGAAAACCATATGAAAACCACAGATTTTTAATTTTTGCACTTATACTAATCGACAGATTTTTTAGAAAAACTAAAGTTTTATTTATTGAACCAAAATGAACTTTTATAAAAAAAATGAAAATTTTTCTCCGTCTTGTTTAAAAGATATTTAACATCAAACTTGAAAAATTATTTTAACATTTACTGTAAATGACAGGTGAATTTGTAAACGTGGCAATAGCTCTTGTTAAATACTACAGCTTGTCTGCTACTTTTGGCGCGAAATTTTAAAGACGGCCATACGCCAAACTTGCGACGTTGCCACGATCGTTTTTGCATGCGAGAGGTTATGAATATACTTTGAGAACATCTGTGTGTCAAACTGTACGTCGGCAAAAGTTTTTCGGAAACTCGCATTCATAATCGTTTCATAAGTACAGTCAACGGATACAAACTTTTGACAGTGACCAGTCGCGCGACAAATACCTTAAAAAATAATTTTTAAATAAACAATTTTTTGAAAAGTGACATTTTTTGCTTTTAATAACAATGATTCAATTCCCACTTATTTCACGAGTATTTTCCAAAAAAAAATTGATGGAGGGTCTGAAACTTTAGGAGATATTGAATTTTTGTCCTTGCGCGCAACCGTAAAAAGCGCATTTTCAGGCTATACTCTACATACGAACTAACCCAAGTAGAAATGTAATACTGGCATAGTACTGACCCAGTACTGACTGCCAGTATAGCAGTACTGACTCCAGTACTAAATCAGTACTGGGAAATCCTTAGCTGGTACTCTCTAAATCTGAATAAGTGAAATTTTCACTTTTTCCATGTGTGAACTTTTTTCTCACTTATTAATAAGTAGAATCTACTTATACATAAGTGAAAATTCACTTTTTTATGTGTGAACTTGGTTTCACTTATCAATAAGTGAAATCCGCACTTATGTACCCAGGTGCGAAAAGTTGGTCGGGCCATGGTCGCGCCGACCAAGTGGATAGTCGTGCCGACCTTGGCAACCAAAGGTCGGCCGAACTAGCGAATTGTAACACCCGCCGTCCAGTGGCTGACATGGTCGGGCCGACTATGGCTGCCAAAGTCGGACCGACCAGGGGTGCCAAAGTTTTGCCAACCATGTGAAAGAATGTCGGCTTGACTTTGGCAACCATGGTCGTGCCGACCTTGGCAGCCAAAGGTCGGCCGAACTAGCGAATTGTAACACCCGCCGTCCAGTGGCTGACATGGTCGTGCCGACTATGGTTGCCAAAGTCGGGCCGACCAGGGGTGCCAAAGCTTTGCCGACCATGAGAAAGAAGGTCGGATTCACTTTGGCAACCTTGGTCGTGCCGACCTTGGCAGCCAAAAGTCGGCCGACCGATTGCAAAAAATTATTAATTATTTATTATTATTATTAATTATTATTATTCATTATTTATTTGTTTATTGTATACATCTTAACACTAAACGCAATCTTACACATAAATACAAATTAAAATTTCTAACGCTCGCAGGAATCGAACTCGCAACCTAACGCACCGAAGTCTAACACGCTAACCATTACGCTACGCTTACATGAAAGCCTAAGAACAAAAATGATTTTATAAGCTGCAACTTCAAACTGACCATCGGCCCGACTCTGGCCAAAGTCGGCCCGACCAAGTGAAATTAGGTTTTTTGCACTCTGGCTGCCATAGTTTTACCGACCGTCGGCCCGACTCAGGCCAGAGTCGGCCCGACCAATTGGAATTAGGTTTTTTAAACTCTGGCTGCCATAGTTTAACCCACCATCGGCCCGACTCAGGCCAGAGTCGGCCCAACCAAGTGAAATTAGGTTTTTTAAACTCTGGCTGCCATAGTTTCACCGACCGTCGGCCCGACTCAGGCCAGAGTCGGCCCGACCAAGTGAAATTAGGTTTTTTGCACTCTGGCTGCCATAGTTTTACCGACCGTCGGCCCGACTCAGGCCAGAGTCGGCCCGACCAAGTGAAATTAGGTTTTTTGCACTCTGGCTGCCATAGTTTTACCGACCGTCGGCCCGACTCAGGCCAGAGTCGGCATGACCAATTGAAATTAGGTTTTTTGCACTCTGGCTGCCATAGTTTTACCGACCGTCGGCCCGACTCAGGCCAGAGTCGGCCCGACCAATTGAAATTAGGTTTTTTAAACTCTGGCTGCCATAGTTTCACCGACCGTCGGCCCGACTCAGGCCAGAGTCGGCCCGACCAAGTGAAATTAGGTTTTTTGCACTCTGGCTGCCATAGTTTTACCGACCGTCGGCCCGACTCAGGCCAGAGTCGGCCCGACCAATTGAAATTAGGTTTTTTAAACTCTGGCTGCCATAGTTTAACCCACCATCGGCCCGACTCAGGCCAGAGTCGGCCCGACCAAGTGAAATTAGGTTTTTTGCACTCTGGCTGCCATAGTTTTACCGACCGTCGGCCCGACTCAGGCCAGAGTCGGCCCGACCAAGTGAAATTAGGTTTTTTGCACTCTGGCTGCCATAGTTTTACCGACCGTCGGCCCGAC